ACCGGTACGAACCAACTTCATTCGCGCGCGTGTGTCGTGTGTGTCATGTGTGTGGTGTTAGTTCGCGGCTCACAGTGTTTTTGTTTTGTGCTACAGGCGGTGTGTACAGGGCGTCGGCGTGCGGCACCTCGATTGACCACTGCGTGCTTGCGGTCGGCTACAACTTGACGGCCAACCCGCCCTACTGGATCATCCGCAACTCGTGGGGCACCAGCTGGGGCCTTGAGGGCTACATGCACCTCGAGTTTGGCACCGACGCCTGCGCCGTGGCCGAGATGACCACGTCCGCCATCATCTAAGCGACACCTGACCAATATGCCTCCCATGCTCCTCCCCCAATGACGCAGTGACTTGTAACAAGGAGGCATTTTTATAAAAATGAAAAAAGCTCAAATCATTAAATCTTCCTTAAATTTTCCGCTTATTTTCTGCGGGCTCAAGAATGCGAGGCACGAGAGGCACAAAAGGCGGGAACGGAAGACACTTTCACTCTGTCGTGTTGTCTTTCCTACTGCATCCGATGGAGTTGTCCACCCTTCCCGAGAAGCTCGGGGCAAAAACGCCGCATAAAACCTCCCCGGGCGGCAGCACCAAGCCTAGCGGGTACTCACCTAGCTTCTCCCCAAGCCACTTCAACAATAAACAACGCCCCATCGACCGAGCTGCAACCCCCTTCGACAACATGGAGCATCAGCCCAGGCAAGCGAGCAAGGTACCGCTTCCAGATTGTTTGTTCCTTTGTAAATTGATGTTAATCGGTGAGTGAGCCTCAGGCTGTCGAGGATGTGGAGGTAGCCGGCTCCGACTCGGAGACCGAGCCTGAGTCGGAGCCTGAGGCGGCAAAGCCATGGCCGATTGTCACCCTCGATAAGACTTGGGAAGATCACTATCGTCGAATGTTGATCTTGATCTACCCTTTGGTGCGTCTTCCCGTTGGTGCTGGCATTGCGACGGAAGCGGCCTCATTTGTACCGGTACTTCAACAGGCCGCCGAACTTGGAGCTGAGGGAATGCTGGCTACTGAATCCACATGGCGCCGCTACGTGTACGCCCCGAGCGAATTGCTGCTCCTTAACAACCCTCACCTGACGGTCGAAAGGTAACCGCCGAACATGTTCATCACGTGCGTCTCCTCTTGACTCACAACCGCTTCAGCAATTCTGAAGTCAGGGCGAGACCGTGGAAGCTTGCGCCACCGTGGCTGGAGGATGCCCGGCTGGACGCAACCCTCGGCGTTAAGGTGATCAAGGAGCGTGCTGACGTCGTAGCCTGCGCCACTGGATGGATCTCGTTTAGCTTCGCCGACATTGAGGAAAAGCGAAGCAGTGAAGACAACAAAGACGAGTACAATCCTCCCTGCCCTCCCTTTATGCTCAGTGCTGATCTGCTTTGGTCTGGTCTGGTCGTGGCTGTAGGTCCAAGCTGCTTGTGATCATGGGGATCAGGCTTTGGCACCTGGCGAAATCCATCGGAACTGTGGGTATCTTCGACATCATGGGCAACGGCATACCTCTGCCCGTCTCAGTTGGCGTCCTTCGAAGCGCCGTGCGTTGGAGCGTTTACTTTATGTGGCGGCAATTCGACTCCAGGACCCAGCAGGTCGTCTACAAATGGTCGCGACTTCTCGATTGCCCAAGTTTGGCGACGCCAGAGGGCTTCCTGCACTATACCACTTTCATGTGGCGCCTGTCTGTTTATGGCGACCTCTTCGCTTGTGCTGTCCGCAAACAACTTCGTGTACGGCTTCTTACCTTGTCTTTCTCCGTCTTCTCATGCTG